CAAAACCTGTATGTATGCTGACTACAAACCCACTTCAGATTTACAGACTGAAAGTGAGGGGATGGAAACATGTATTTCATGCAAATAGAAATAAAGCTGGAGCAGCAAAACTTGTAACAGACAAAATAGATTTTCTTTTACAGACTGTTACTCGAGACAAGGACACTATACAATAATCGAGAGATCAATCCAAGAAGAAGATAAAACAACTATAAATATATATGCACCCAACATAGGAGTGCCTCTATATAAGGCAACTGTTAACAGACATAAAAGGAGAAACCAACAGTAACACAATAATAGTGGGGGACTTTAACACCCCACTTACATTAATGGACAAATCATCCAGACAATAAATCAATAAGGAAGTACAGGCCCTGAACGGCGCGTTAGACCAGATGGACTTAACTGACATTTACAGAGCATTCCATCCCAAAGCAGCAGAATACACATTTTTTTCAAGTGCACATTGAACATTCTCCAGGATAGATCACATGCTAGTCCACAAAGCAACCCTTGGTAAACTTAAGAACATTGAAATCACATCAGACATCTTTCTGACCACATGCTATGAGATTAGAGATCAACTATAAGAAAAAAATGCAGAAAATGCAAACATATGGAACTAAACAATATGTTACTAAAAAACCAATGGATTACTGGAGAAATCAATAATCAAAAAATAATTACAGACAAATGAAAATAAAAACATGACAATACAAGCCATAAGCAACAAAATACCAGAAATAGAAACTAAAGAAACAATTCCATTTTCCACAGCATCAAAAAACAAACAAAACCTAGAAAAAAACCTACCTAAGTAGGCAAAAGACCTGTACTCCAAAAACTGTAAAACACTGATGAAAGCAATTGAAAAATGTCTCTTCAGCAAGTAGTGCAGGGAAAACTGGACAACAGCATATAAATGATGAAGTTAGAAAACTCCCTCACACCATAAACAAAAATAAACTCAAAATGGCTTAAATACTGAAATATAAGACAGGACACTATAAAACTCCTAGGAAAAAACATAGGCAAAGCATTCTCTGATATGAATCATGCCAGTGTTCTCCTAGGGAACTCTACTCAAGAAACAGAAATAAAAGCAAAAATAAACAAATGGGACCTAGTCAAACTTACATGCTTTTGCACAGCAAGGGTAACCATACCCAAAAGAAAATGGTAACTTACAGAATGAGAGAAAATATTTACAAATGATGTGACTGACAAAGGCATAATTTCCAGACTATATAAACAGCTCATACAACTTAATAAAAAAAAAAAACCCGAATTGAAAAATGGGGAAAACATGTAAACAAGCAATTCTCCAATGAAGACATACAAATGGCCAAGAGGCACAGGAAAAAATGCTCAATATCACTAATTATCAGAGAAATGCAAATCAAAACTACATGAGGTATTCCTCACACCAGTCTGAATGGCCATCATTCAGAAGTCCACAAATGATAGATGCTGGAGAGGGTGTGGAGAAAATGGAACCCTCCTACACTGTGGTGGGAATGAAGTTGCTGCAACCACTATGGAAAACACTGGAGATTCCTCAAAAACCTAACAGTAGAGTTACTATATGACTCAGCAGTCCCACTCCTGGACATGTATCTGGAGGAAACTCTAATCTTAAAATACAGATGCACCCCAATGTTCACAGCAGCACTTTTACTATAGCCAAGACATGGAAACAACCTAAATGTCCATCAACAGATGACTCAATAAGGAAGCTGTGGTGTGTGTATATGTATGTGTACACACACACACACACGAATATTATTCAGCCATAAAAAAAGAATAATGCCATTTGCAGAAACATGGATGGACCTGGAGATTGTCATTCTAAGTGAAGTAGGTTAGAGAAAGAAAAACCACATGATATCAATCATATGTGGAATTCAAAACAAGAAAAAAGACACTAATGACCTTACCTACAAAACAAAAACAGACTCACAGACTTAGTAAACAATCTTATGGTTACCAGGGGGGAATGGGGGTCAGGAAAGGATAAATTGGGAGTTTGAGATTTGCACATACTAATTGCTATGTATAAAATAAAACAAGTTTCTTTTGTGTAGCTCAGGGAACTATATTC